GACAAGCGTAGGGCGAGGACCCGTCCATCGCCGCTTGCGGCTTTAATTTTGTATGTATTCTGTCATTTTTTAATGTTTAAGCTTCCTAAATGGGACAGTCACTCTGAGTGTGTGCGTTTGGGTGGGCACTGTCTTCTACTGAACCAAAGTTCTTTACAAAAATGCCATATTTGTCCTTCAAACTATGATTTTACAGATGTAAAACAGTCACTTTGGCTCCGTTCTTGTGACAAATGTGGTCTGGGTATAACAACATTTAGAAGGCTGATGAAGGGCAGAATTAGTCGTTTTTATCCAGCAGTATGTGAGAACAGTACAGGGAATGTCCGCATCTCTGGGTGGATTTCAACTGAGAAATGCATGTTCAACTCTTAACCTCAGTGCGTGTAATACCCATGAAGGTCTTCATGAAGCCCTCTTGCCTCCCAGATAAGGAGTACACCTGGATCCTGGACTTTCACACAGTCTATTGGACAAACGGCCAACCAAAATCCTCAAATCCACCGCTGAACATGACTGGAAGGATATCTGAAAACACATTATTTTGTTTTGGCAGCTCACCAAAACAATCAAGAATCAAGGAAACTACCTATAATATCTTTGTCTCTGCCCATGTGTTGTGTAAATGTAGAACGGCAGAATTCATAGGCCCCAAAAAAAGCAGAAGTAACCCGGACTCTCCCTCACGATGGTGCAAGTCAGGCCTCCGTAGAAACCCACGGAAGGTTTGCTGTCAACACCGTCTTCACCACAGTTCACACTGAAGTCACAACCGCAAGTCACCGGGTGAATGAAGTCAAATGAAACTGAGTGTGCTCTTTTTTTTTTTTGGGACTACTCACCTTCTCTGTCCTCACGGTAGCTTTCCGGACGTCTCCATTTCACGCATGGCCTGTAAGCGACATTTCACCAGCTCTGTGGGGCAGAGTGCCATGAAGGAGAGGATGGAGGGTAAAGACCCTGCAGATGCCTCATAAAGATCACTGATGAGCAACAACAATAGCACACTGGCAGATATAAATAAAGGCTTTAAAATGAAAGACACCCAGCTTGGGTTTTTATATAAATAATTGCACAGGACGTTAAGAATGCCTGCTGTATTTACTCAGAAGAGATCAATAGCTCCGCTGTAGTCTGCTGACACACAAATAACCTCCATGTCTCTGACAATTAAGTGCACTAAATGGAAAACCATATAATGAATGCACTCAAGATGATTTTCTAGGAGCGTAGTTACATTTCCTGGTCTGGATCTGGTAGAACTGTTTCCATCTCAAAGAGCACAAACAAAGCGGCTCCACTACAGAGTCACCTTATTAAATGTCAAGGGAACGGCTCCTGGTTGTTCACCTGAAAGCTCTCTGAATAAAGAAATCACTCCCATCAAACATTTCAAGGTCTCTTTCTCATGCTGATCACGGTCTACTGTGAAATGTTGTGTTTGCAGTTAGAGTCACTTTTAAAGTACACTTTTTTTTTATAGCTTGCTTGAAAATCCTGTCAGATTTTGGTGAACATTCCAGGTTGGACATTAGTGATAAAAAATTACTTTGGCTATTGATTTTACTTAAATGCGCAACTACAGATGAAGCAGGTGAAAATATAATTATTTTAAAGATGCCCTTTAGCTTAATGTCTTCATGGCTGAGGAGACAGCTGCCTGGCTTTCTGTTTAAACTTACTGGCTGAGAAGCTACTTTAGTCACCATGTGAATAACAAATTCACCACCTCCATGTGTGTTAGGGCTGTAGTAAACCTGAGATAAATACACAGAAACATCAGCTCCTAACCTGAGATCTGCCCCTTTATCCATCCAGAGGCCGTAACTCAAGAAGAGCACAGCGTTCTCACTGATGTTGGCTGAAAGGGCCAGAGTTGTGCTTTTGTAGAGACCAGCAGTCCCACCTGCCTGAAGGTTGAGATGAAGCAGTGGATTTCCCTGAGGTAACCTACCAAAGGGATCAATAAAGTTCTATCTATCTATCTATCTATCTATGAAGCCTCAGTGCATGCTGGGAAACATCTGCATCTTCACCTTTGTGGTGTCAAACAGTTTACCGCTCAGCACACAGGCTGCACCAGCAGTATAGTAGAATCAGAGAAGAAGAAAAAAGGTTATTTGTCTTTTTATACAGTGTATGTAAACTTCTGGTTTCAACTGTACACAGGCCCATAAACTGGAAGCAGAAATGCAGTCAGACAAGATATTCACTGCTCAGTGTAACTCTGTAGCTCTACACTACGCACTAACATTTTGTTGATGACAGTCTCGATCTAAAATGTTTGGTGGCCTGCAACTGACCTCAGGGCATCTCTCTGAGGCCATCCTGGGTACATCTTACCTCTGAAATGAGAGAAAATCTCCAGCTTATGTTTAAGTGGTTAAATTAGCACATTTTATGTCAATAGTTTGTCTTTTTAGACAGACAGACAGCCAGACAGACAGGCAGACGACTGATCCAAACAACTGTGACCTACCTGTTGCTCCAGCTGAGAAGTCCACGATTGCCTGGACAACAGGATGTGGAGCCATGATGATTCAAAAGCCTGAAAACATAAAAAAATTTAAGCTTGCAGCATTTAACCTTTGTACAATCTCTTCACATGCAAACAGGCCCAAAAAAGGCGGTAATTGTGAAGTCAGCAAAGATATAAATAATGCAATAAGGAACATTACGTGACTGTACTGTAGAGTCCATACAGAAGACACGACAGGACAGGGAAAAAAAAAAAAGCATTCGAAGTAAGTCTTTGAGGCTCACCTGTGGTTTGTGTTTGTGTTTACTGCACGTGTTGCTTCGCTCACAAAGAACAATTCTGAGAACTTTTCTTACACTCCACTCCATGTGGAACTACTTCTCACGCAACGAGCGTCTTAAAATTCGCAGAAACTGTCCTCAAATGCCGGCTGTTGTCCATGACAGTTTGGCGTCTTACGGCATTTTGGTTTTCTTCCAGGAGCTGTTGTGAAACTCACTGCTAGATTTCTGCAGGTCGTTCCTGCCGTGCGCACTTTACGCACGCAGAGCGCACAAGGAGCTGATTCAAGCTGTAAAAAGAAGGCACGATAACACAACAAACAATTGCTTTTAAAACGAACATGATGGCATATAAATGAACATATCTTTGATTGACAGGGTTAGGGTTCGTGCTGCTTTAGCTTTCTTGAAATCACATTTGGCAGCTAACTTGATTTTTGAAGGACGGGTTCTATTTTAAACTCAGCCTGACTTGACACCGTCTGGTTGGGAAATAAAAGTAGGCTGTCTTTACACTTTATCCTGATGACTGGGAGGAGTTTTTTCAAGTTAAAAATAAAACAGCCGGTGTTGGTTTTGGCGTCTCTGACTGAGCAGACGACTGTGAATGCGACAGAGATGACCTGCAGACGCCTGGCTAATATTAGATTTCAGTTTCACGTGGTCAGATTCGCAGATTCGACACTCATGTGCGCAGGGAACTGTGCCATGACATCTCGAGGAACACCATCTACTCACGAGACTGGGGATTTAATGCCAAACTTGAGGTCTGTATCTGGTTGTAATACCCGAAAACAACCACAAGATGTCAGTATACAACATGGATGAGCTTCTGGTTTATGAAACCAGCAGGCAACTGTTGCATTGACTTGACTCTGAGAAGCCACTTTATCCTCGAGTCTTTTCATCAAAAACACGTTCCTAAATCGGTCTTTCATTTATTGTTACTCTATAAACACAAGTGTTATTAAGATGTAGGCCTATTTTTCTCTGTGGTACCCCTAGTTTAGAGAAATTTCCTCAATTTGTTTCTAAATTTGTCTTTAGGTTTTGCAAACACTTTGTAAACTTTGTGCTTTAAATTATTATATGCTGTCATTACTGGCTGTTCCAAGGGCAACAACAGTAATGGTGCCAAAGTAATTTAGTTATAGTCCACTCACACAGGGAGGTTGTTAAAGTAGTATGTGACAAATATGGCTTGTAATCAGATTATTCATAGGGCATGAAAATGACACAAAAATGTGCCAAAAAAAGACCCGGTGAAAGTTGTGTTTTGTTATTTTTAGATGTGGATGGGAAAAAGTAGAAATGACTCTCTTCAGGTGATGATTCATGTTTATGTATAAACATATTTATGCATTGAACTTTAAAAAAAAAAGAACATAATTAATGCATCTGTAAAAGTTTGTGCATCTATTAAGTGAGCAATTGTTCCTGCTACAGATATCACTGCTTTTGAAAGCTATCAGTCATCTTCCATTACCTACAGATCACTTTAAGTTCTGAGATGTTTGTAGGCTGAGCTACACAAAAAAAAATTTATATCTCCTTACAAATTCTCAATGGCAGATTTTGTTTTGCAGAAGCCAGCCTCTAAAGTGTTCGTCTTCCATGTAGATCCTGTCTGGGCATCATCGCTGCACACTGTAACGGAGCACCACCACTCCCGTGTCAGCGCTCACATACACTATTATCTGAAAGTTTTCCAGATATTGTCTTGATTTCCACAGTTCCTCTTAACTGATATCTCTTTATCACATTTTGGATGGTGGAAATTACAAGCTGGAGGCACTTTGATATCTTTTTATAGCCTTTGGCTGCCGTGTAAGCATCAGTCAAGCATCAGTCAGCTCCGTTTTCAGATCCTCTGTCAGCTGCTTGGAGGAATTCACGGTTGCTGAGTGTAACCACAAAGTCTGAGGAGTCAGATAATGAATCATGCTCAATTTTTTTTTTGTCATCGGCTTACAACTGACCTGAATTGAAAAGTCTTAAGGAGCCAGGTGAGGCCTCAGGAGTTAGTAATGCTCTGAGACTTTGCAGGTAGTGCCTGGATGTTTACTACAAGTAGTTGTTCAGTTCTTTTCACCTTAAGAAAACAACAAAATGTGAACTTTACCCAGTTGTGCCCAACTTTTGCACAACTATTTACCCCTAAATATTGTTTTTTTTTTCTTCTGCAAAACAAAATAAAATAAAATAAAATCAAATATACATTATTTATTTTATCTCACATAAAAGGGAATAATAACACTCTGGAGGCATACGATTTCAGAGAAATGTTTAGTGGCTGCGTTTAAGTGAAAGAATGAAAACAAGGAGCCTTTTTTTTTTTTTTTAATCATGCCTCTCGACGCCATCCATTGGTGCTCGCCGGCTGTCAGTCTCTTGTGGGCGGTGTCAGCTGACAAATGATACTTCCAGTAAGTCCTCACATGCTGCACAACAGAGTCAACAGGCTGGACGAGGCGCAGGCGGCACATCGCTCCGACCGGACAACAACAACAAACTCACTGCGGCCACTTGCTCAACTTTATTTCCCTGTAGAAGGCCTTTTCACAAGCTGCTTTCTCACAGCTGTCAACACAGATCCTCACCGGCTTGGGATGTGACTTCCAGCGCAGACTTTGCGCCCAGGCGGAGCACAGTTTTCCCGGACAGATTCATTCTCACGTTTCGGCGAAGTTACTTTTTTTTTCTTTTTTTCTTTTTTCTTTTTGGGAGGGAGGCGACAGGTTCGTCACATTTACATGACATTGTAACTTTTTGTGTCTATTTTTTTTTTTTCTTTACACCTCTCGACCATGGCGGAAGCGGCTCAGCAGCCACACCTGGTGGAAATCGACCCGGATTTCGAGCCCCTGTCGCGGCCCCGCTCGTGCACTTGGCCCCTGCCCCGGCCGGAGTTCATCAACCCGGGCGACTCCAACACGTCCTCGCCGGTGCCGTCCGTGAAGCAGGAGCCCGGCACCGGTACCAACGAGTTCATCAACAACCTGAGTCTGTTGGAGGAGACCGAGGACTTCACGGAGCAGAAGCCCGTCATCCTCTGCACTGATTTCCAGTGTCAGGAGAACTGCGTCCACCAGCAACCTCCACAGCAGCAGCAGCAGCAGCAGCAGCCACATCAGCATCAGCAGCAGCAGCACCAGAACCCACAACTCCCCCATCAGCAGCAGCAGCAGCAGCAGCAGCAGGTGCCTCTGCTCTCCACCCCGGTGGGCTCGTCCTCCACGGCGGCCGCGGCAGCTGCTGCAGCCGCTGCCCAGAGGAAGAGCAGCTCCTCCAGGCGGAATGCATGGGGGAATATGTCATATGCAGACCTCATTACCAAAGCTATCGAAAGTTCTCCCGAGAACCGACTAACTCTATCTCAGATTTATGACTGGATGGTGAAGAGTGTGCCTTATTTCAAGGACAAAGGAGACAGCAACAGCTCTGCAGGGTGGAAGGTACGTTTTGGTACTTTTTTTTTGTGGTGATTGTTCAGATCATGAATGACTGCCGCTCATGTCTGGTAAAGCAGCAGCCTGTGCCAAGTCCCTATACAAAGTGATCCAGTGGGGATGAGTCTGTGGAGCTGAACAGAGGCTTCACAGCGGCATCATTGTGCTTTATGTAATGTTTTTATCTCTTGTGGTATCACTGGAATACCCCTCCTGGGATTTCTGGCTTGCCTGTGGTGTTTAATAGTCACTTTATTGTGATTATATAATGCATTTTGGTCAGGGTTGTTTATTTTTTTTTTTATCTCCATCATCTATCATCATGGGTCTGCAGGGACTTCTGCTGATATTTGCAAGTTTTTCCCCCCCTTCTACACAAAGCTTTCCACACCAACAAAAGAGCATACAAGAAGAGTTATGGTGACTTTCCACGCTCACGTCTCCCTCCATTGTTATCTGTGCATTTCATAGCACTTTGGTAAACTGGCCGATTGCTCCCAGCACCTTACTCAGTCATCTGTCCTCTTCCTGCACTGTGTGATTCAGTCTCCTGACTCAACAGGGGTTTTTCTTCTTTTTGCCTTATTGCATCCTTCTATGTGCTATTCATGAAATGCCTTGACCTCTGACTCAGTTTGATAGAGGCCGCTGTCTTCTCGCTGCTGTTAATTTAGGGGGGAAAAAAACAAAGATGGTAGATTTTTAAGGCTAAATCGGCTTTTCTTTCTTCGAGTGCGGGCCTTGAATGAAGCTGTATTTGTACATCTGTGTCGTAAGGAGATACCAGAGGCGTTCGTGTGTCCTAGAGACTGTCCAAAACATTACACAAGAAGGGGACTTCAAATTTCTGATGTGGTGTGACAGCAGGCCCTCCCACTGCACACTATTGAAGGGCGTAAACCTCCATTTGGAGACACATAGTTTCAGTGGTGTCTGACAATAAATTAATGACAGTCTACTCTCCCAGCAGGAAATCATATTGAGCCTGCAGCCACACAGTGAGAGATTTATTATGGCTTCCCTCTGTTATAGGCTGTCTGGGTTGCCGATGAAATTTAAAGCAGTTGTGAAGGGAGGCTTCTTTTTTTTTTTGTCTTCCTCTGTCAGAGCAGGCTCCCATGTTTGAGTCATGTGCTGAGAGATGACACATTCACGTCAGTCACAAATGCCAGAGAGAATTTCTTTTTTTAGGTCTCAGTGAATCTGACACATAGTCAGATTTATTTGAAAAAAACAAAAAAATCCTGATAATTCTGTTGGATTTTGCCGGATACTGTTTTTGGCTGAGCACCTTGTCGCTCCATATTCATTCGTTTGACTTTGGTGTTTACAAAAAATCCACCAAACTCATGTTGAGCTGTCAAACGGATGGAAAAACCCCCTTCAGTGTAGTGGACTACACAGTAAACAGAGCTGGACAGCTGTGTTACCAGGGTCCAAGTAGGTTTCCCCCCTCATTTATTTATGATACACATCTGTGCTGCTCTGTAGCTTTGTTTTGATTTGTAAGCAAGATGCTTTTAGTATTAAATTAAACTTTCTGATCACTTTATTGTCATAGAGGTGCACAAATCTAACGTTAAGGTGCCACATGTGAGTGTGGGGATCATTCTTAAACACTCATTTTCTCTCCAAAGCAAGATCCTTTTAAAATGAACACACTCATCCAAAACACTTCTGATTAACTGACAGAACCAAATTCTGAAGGATGCGCTCCTGTGGGAAATAAATCCAAGTTCAGAATCTATAAGTGTTGTGTGGTGAAGCAACATCTCAAAACACCTACAGAGTGTTAGTCACACTGAATCTGAGGTTGTGAAGATATATATCTTTCTTTTTTTTCTTTTTTTTTTACTATAAAATGATGCAATAAGCATTTTTGATGAGACTTCTCACTTTCCCACATGAGTGTCAGGAGTACTATTAGCACCCCACCTGCAGTCGACACTACCCCAGTGATCCTCAGTGGTTACAGTGTAATTTGGAAGTTATTATATAGCAGAGAGCGGCTGAGACGAGCAACTGTGAGTTCATTGTCTCCGGCGCCGTCACCTACAATAGTAGATCATTTACATTTTGCAGAACATGCAAGCAGAGTCACAGTGACAAAAAAACCCAACATGTCACCGCGTCTTTATCAACACAACTAAATAAACAGTGAAATTTCTCACCGTTGTTGCATCCATTTAACAGTTTTTTTTTTTCCTCGTGATTGGCGGCTTGGAGAGGGGAGCGCAGCCGCCGCCTGGGCTCTCTGCTTATCCTGCCATGTTGGGGGTGTAAACTGAGTAATACTGTGGGAAAGCAAAGTGCCATTCACTGCTGCGAGGGGAGTTATTCATAGAGCTCCCCTCGCTTCCACACAGGGGGCCTTCGCACATTGTCTCCTCAGAGCGAGCTCACTTATAAGGGCGGGCTTGAGCTAAAGAGAATATGCCTGCGTGGTAAAGATGTTGATGTAAAATGTAAATGATGTGGTGAGCCATGCGTGTAGTCGTTTCGCTGTTGCTTTTTGAAGTCAGCGGATATTTCTAGACATTCAAAACCATTTAGCTAGAGTGTTGTCATTTAGAATGTGAGAAAGTATTTTTGCAGGGATAGATCTGTAATTCTTAAAAATGGCTTTTTGGATCTTCATCTTATATTCTGTCTCGACGGGGGTGAAATGACTGATTGAGAATCTTTATATTGCGTGGCAGACCTCCTTTCAAAGACACCAAAATGAGTTTAGACAAGCACAAATAATCTTTTTTACCCCGTGAGCCTTCAACAGAGCATGAAACAACACCAAGATCTGTGGTTTGTGGAGATATTGGATTGATTCATCCATGATTATTCAAGTCATAGGCTCGACTTTTTGTTGGCTTTTTGTGTGTGTGTGCTGTTAAACATACAGTAAATCTCAATGACAGAAGTCACAACACAATCGCTTTGTTTCTAGGAAGCAGTGACTGATCAACACCATCAAATATTAGTTGTAATTTACTTTTGGTTCAGCCTTTGTGAACTTATTAAGCATCATTTCTTCGTGTGACTGATGTCCCCGAACAGACGTGGTTCCCCCTAAAGTGTTCTGGCTGGAGCACATGAAGTTTTCATTAATGTATGATTAAGGCTGTCTGCTCTGTAATTGTTGGAGGCCGAGCTCGTTTCGCAGAGCTGCTGATCCTCCACATTCGGTCGTGTCTGAACTGAGTCATGACAGCCTCCATACTTCTCGGGCCGTCTGTGGCGGTGTGAATTTTGAGGACAGTTGTGCCAGGTGGGACCAGCTTGGAGAAGCTCTCTGAGTGGACTGGACACTGGCCCTGGCACAGGCTGCCATCCAACAGGAAGGAGAACAGATGGCACAAATCATGTATCACCAAACCTCTCCGCAGAGCTGCTTATTTATTTCTAATATGTCCCTTTCTCCAGCAGACTGTCCACTTTTTTTGAAAATGTTACGAATGCATGCGGTATTAAACACTGACGCACACATACAAATTGCACCCTGGTACAGTATAATATATACTGTGCACACACACTTACGCCCCCCAAAAAAATCTGTTCCTTCTGGTATTCCTCTACTATACGTACGTCACTGCAGGATAAATATTTGCCGCGTGGCTCAGGTACGCTTTGATGTCAGTATCAAGATCGGTTGGGTTGTAGGTTCTCTCTGTACACGACGCTCTCTTGACCTGAAATTCCTCAGCCCACGCTGGTAAACACTCCCACGGATCTCAAAACAAACTGTGTCGGCGCAGACAAACACGTAGGTCCGAGCAGGTTGTACAGCAAGCGACACAAGGGTCATTACCATGTACATGCACCTATTGACTCCAGTCCCTCTTAGTCTTACAGTAAACACCGTGAGTATCGCCCCAAAGGAGAGGGTCTCATAAGTCATGTCGCCAAACTGTAGAATGAAAATTCCATCAAGTTATAACAAAAGCTTTTCTAGAGCGAGGTTTCATGTTGCTTATTGGTTGCAGCATTGTGGAGGCAAACTCAGCTTTCAGGTTTATCATTTATTTAGATGTTAATCATCTATTCAGAATCATTTGCTGCCTGATGTGTTTGCAATAAGCTAGCATTGGCTCATTTTTCAGTCTGGTTGGTTTATGGTGGAGCTCGTGTTCCCGCTGCTTCGTCGCACTGGTTGCTTTGCATTACAGCGCCACGAACTGCAGCATGGTTTAAAATACTCTATGTGACGTGATATTATTGCAATGATCTGAATACAGAAAACTTTGCTCAGAAGTCAGAACTGATTGAGTTTGTGTTGGATCACTTGTTCAACGAAGTGGCCAAAAAATGTGAGCCTGTCAGACTGATAGAAATACTGTCAGTCCAATATTACTACGAAGCTTTCCAGCTCATTTATTTGCAACATGGCCTTCAATGGTTCGATTTAACCAGAGATATCCAAGGAATGTTGACACTGGTATCAGTGGTGTGGCAGAATCTCTACCAGCTAACAGAATATTCTGCTGGCTTCCCAAACCTACTTAGACGTCACGTTATTTTCAACTGCTTTAAGTTTAATTGATCAGTAATTATGTTTCAGATTTATCAGCTTTTAATTTACACAGTTCGGCTTTTGTTGAGTGAGGTTGCACATGTGTGTCTGATTGCCATGTGTTACCTGAAATGTGTTATATTCAGTTGTGTTTCTATACATCTACAACATATGTCATCTTATTGCACTTCCCATCGTAACGTGAGGACCTCGCGAATTTTAAAAAGAGAACCTGAAAAATCCAAAGTTCCCTTTGGATTCTCTTTTAGCAAACAGTGGTGAAGGAACCAAAAAACTTCCCCAGCAATATTGGTTTAAGAAATCTGAGAATGAATAATCCTGATTGAGCACAAAGCTGGTTATACTTTATCACAGACTGTTTGTTTCTGCGGCTCTGAATGTGTCTTATAGGACAGAGAGCTGGATAGAACAGCAGTCCTCCTGTTTCTACTGGTTCAAAACACACACACACACACACACCTCTCACCCCCCTGAGGCAGTC